CCGCCTGAGCCCCACAAGCTGTGCCTTAAGGCTTCTGCTTTCCTCTGGCGGAGAGTGCTGGCTGTAGCGGAGCCAAGGGCCACCCTGTGACAAAATGGTGATGATGCCCTGGCCCGCAGTTCGGCTCACAAGTTAGGAAAGAAGCCAGAGCAACTGGAAACCAATGCCATGCCAGTGGCAGACCCGCACCAGAAGGTTCGCGCCCTCACAGAGACACAGCCATGCACGTGGGCCTGGGCTGCTGACCACGCTGCCACCTCGAAGGCCAAGACAGCTGTGAGAAAAGCCATGCTCAAGGGCCGGGGATTTACCTCAGTGATTTCAATGCCTGCCTCACAAGCCAAGGACCAGAGTTCGATCCCCAGTACCAAAAAAAAAAAAAAAGAAAGAAAAAAGAAAAGCCAACTCGGGCCTCAGTTCTTTTTGTCATGATTTTTTCTTTTTTCTTGCAGTTCTGGGGATCAAACCTAGGGCCTTGGTTGTGATAGGCAAGCGCTCCGCCATGGAGCTATGTCCCCACCCCCCCCAGGCCTTAGTTATGACCCACAAGGAAGAATGGCTTGGTAGTATGGAAGTGACAGAATCTTGGGGGAAATGCTGCTCTGAATGAGGCTCCCACTAGAACTCCAGGACAGCAGATTTCAGGAAGTCCAGAGGAACCTGGCATGGTGGCGCATGCCTGCAATCTGTGAGCAGCATTTTCTCACACTGACAGCTGGGAATCAGGTCTGGCTAACTAGGAGCCGCACATCTGTCCTGTGACCCTTCCTCCATTCAAAACCAGCTGTGACATAAAGCCAGGGTGTGGTGGCGCATGCCTATAGTCCAACACTCAGGAGCCTGAGACAGGAGGATCATCTCAAGTTCAAGGCCACCCTGGGCTACTTAGCAAGACCCTGTCTCAAAAAAAGAAAAACATCAAAACAAAAGTAGCTGTGGGATTGGAGAAACCCTCCAGAACCAAACAGATTTTCTGTAGCTTCTGATAAGAAATGTAAGGCTGGGCCTGGAACATAGCTCAGCAGCACAGTGCCCACCTGGCAAGTGCAAGGCACTGAGTTCAATTCCCAGTACCAAAAACAAAAAAAATGTAAGGCTGAGCAGCTAAGAAATGCTGTCACCCTGCGGGCTCGGTCAGGAGGGACCCCTGCACCCTGGGCTGCCCAGGCCGAGCACAAGATGCTGCGAGGAGGGTGGGTTACAGAATGAGCCCCAGGGGCACACGCCAGCCAACCACCAGCAAGTGCTGGTGAGCGCACCACACAGTGCTCACAGCTTCCCTCGCTCCCAGACTCAGCAAGCCTGTGGTCCCCTGAACTAGTCATTCCTCCTGGAAATCTGCTTCTGAGATCCTAGTGTTTTCTTGGTTCTCCTCCATCGCAGTAACCATGCCTTTTTCTGTTTTCTTTGTTGTTGTTGTTGTTGTTGTTGTTGAGACAGGCTCTCACTATGCAGTTCAAGCTGGGCTTGAACTTATTATGTAGCCCAGGTTGGCCTCAAACTGGAGGTGATCCTCCTGCCTCAGCCTCCCGAAGGCTGAGATTACAGGTGTGTACCACCACACCCAGCTTTTTTTTCTTTTTTTGGTACTGAGGATTGAACCCAGGGCCTTCACACTGAGCTATACCCCGGCCCTTTTTAATTTTTATTTTTATTTAAGTTTCAAACAAGTTCTTGCTAAGTCACTAAGTTGCCCAGGTTGGGCTCAAACCTGTGATCCTTTTACCACAGCCTCCCAGCGTCCTGGGTTCATGGGTGTGCACCGCCATGCCCAGCTGCCTGCCTCAATACCCTCTGTGAAGTCCTCGCCTCCTAGGGTGCTGGGGGCCAGCGCCTCCACCCTCGAGTCGGGTGATGTCGTCCCCTGGCATAGGGCCAAACGCCAGCCAACTTGGTGTGGCCAGCCTGACCTCCCCGTGACGCATGCCTCTCAGGCAACACATTTAAAGCAGAACTGCTGGGCGCCCTCCTGCAAATCGCTCCTCTCCTCTCCTCCTGCCCCGCATTACCATAGCACAGTTCGTTCTTCCAGTCTTTTCTCACGGTCACATCCAGCCTCAGCAGGTCCTGAGGAGCTTCTATCTATACATCCACCCCATAGGACTACTCCTCGCCCTCACCTCCTGCCGTCCAGTCCCAAGCCCCATGCTCTGGATGCCCTCCTGGCTCCTCCCTTCCCTCTGCATGGCACAGCACTTTACTCTGCTGCATGTACCCTCCAGGGCTCCCATCTCGCTCAGGATAAGCCCAGAGTTCCGGCTTCCTTCCACGGGCCTCTTTCCCCTTGCTGTGTGCACAACACCCTCAGAGGGATCTTCGCCTGCAGACTCGTCCTGCTCTGGTAGGACCTGACTCCCTCCCTCCTAGACTTCTCCAGAGTCACCGTGCAGATGCCACCTCTGCACACAGGACCTTCCTGAGCCTACCTCCTATTCTCAGCAGTGCTTGTGACCACTGGGACCCACCTCTTTGACCTGTCAGCAAGCAGGGATGTTCTCTCGTAGAATGGGCAAATAAATGGAGAAATGCTCAGGGCCAGGCAGAGTCAGAGATGATTCCTACGTTCAGAATCAGTGCCACAAAAACAATGAAGTTTCCAAAGCCGAGATAAACGAGGTTAGGGAAACTGACACTCTGCTTTTTAGAATAAGGTGAACTGTCCAGGCTGCCAACTTTGGGAAGTTTTTGTGTTAACAGATAGAGGCATGGGGGCTCATAGTGCTCTTCTCTCCACATCCTATCTAAAATTTCTACAAGAGCTTTTCTCAATCCTCAGATGAATTACACCTCAAACTGGGTGTTAGTATGGGTGTCTTAGTTACTTTCCTTGTTGCTGAGACAAAACATCTGACACCCAAAGTTACAGGAGGAGAGGTTTATTTAACTCAGATTGTGGAGGTTTCAGTTCATTGTCAGCTGGCCCCAAGGCAGGGTGGCATGGCAGGGTGGCATCGCAGAGGAGAAACAGTCCATGGCAGGCAGAGCAGGCACCAGGCAGCAAGTAAGGGAGTGACCTGCAGTGACTACACCAGCCCTCCTTCTGTCTCTTACATTTTATCCACCCTCAGCCTACCCACACTTAACCATAGTACTCACACCCTTAATCCTAGTATCACACTGTGAATTAATCCCAGCATCACATCCTTGATGCCCCTAGATCCAGCCATTTCTGAAAAGCTCCACCTATGACCGCATGAGGCTTTGAGGACATCTAGACTCAAGCCATAACAGTGTGTGTTGCTGGGGATTGTACTCAGGGCCTTGTGCTTGCTAGGCAAGTACTCTACCACTGAGCTACAGCCCAGCCTCAACAGCTCAGATTTTTTTTTTTGAGACAGGGTCCAGCCTGGTCTTGAACTCCTGGCAATCCTCCTGCCTCAGCCTCCTGAGTGCTGGCATTACAGGTGTGTACCACCTCACCCAGCAACAGCTCAGAATCTTATATTTTTTCTTATAATCTTTTTTTTTTTTTTTGGTACTGGGGATTGAACTCGGGTCCTTGTGCTTGTGCAGCAGGTGGTGAAACCACTGAGCTAAATCCCCGGCACTTCTTATAATCTATTTTAATAGCTCAAATCCAGCTAGGCATGGTGGCACATACCCATAGCCCCAGCACAGTAGAAGGCTGAGGCAGGAGTACTGAAAGTTCAACCCTAGCCTGGGTAACTTAGTGAGAGACCCTGTCTCAAAAAAATAAGTAAAACGCCTGGAAATGTAGCTCAGTGCCAAGGCCCTGGGCTCAATCCTCAGTGCCAGGGTGGGTAAAAAATAGCTCACACCCTATGGGTGCTGTTGTGGAGCCTGGAAGAGATCATGCCAACTTCAGCCAGTAATTGTGATTTATGGACAGTAAAAAGGAGTCAGCAGTAACTAACAGAGTGTCACTAGGCTGGAACAAACAAACCTTATTCCACTGAATAAGAGCTAAGAATCTGTTTTTCCAAGGAAATATAGTAGACAAAACACCTGAATTTCACCAAATTGTTTGGCAGCACGTCATGATATTTACTTGAAGGTGCTGGGCATGATGGCACACCCCTGTAATGCCAGCACTCAGGAGGCTGAGGCAGGAGGGTTGCCAGGAGTTCGAGGCCAGCGTGGACTATATAGTGAGTTCAAGGCCAGCCTGAACTACATTAGGGAGACCCTGTCTCAAAAAACAAACAGCCAAAGGCCAGGGATTTAGCTCAGTGGTCCTGGTGCCTGCCTTGCAAGTGCAAGGTCCCGAGTTCGATCCCTGGTACCAAAAAAACAAAAACAGCCAGGGATTTAGCTCGGTGGCACCCTGCCCTGCCTGCCTCGAAAGCGCAAGGTCCTGAGTTCGATCCCCGGTATTGAAAAAACAAAAAAATGATGCAGTTTCAGATTTTGGAGCATTTCAGATTTCCAGACTAGAAACTCAACCTATATAGTCCATGCAAATACTCCAAAATCTGAAGCACTTCTAATTTTTTGCTGTTTGTTCTGCGACAGGGTCTCACTGTGTACTTCAGGCTGGCCTTGAACTCCCCAGGCAGAACTCTCCAACTCAGGTCAACCGAAGACCTGGCCAGTTATAGACCGGCCACTTAATAAGTTTTAGGCCCGGGTGGAGCAGAGGGGCCTGGGGCCCGGGGCCCGTCAGGCCGCCAGGTGGCGCCCGGGACTGACCGCAAAGCTGCTTCCTCTTCCCCAACCCTTCCGAGCAGCGGGCCGGGGCAGGCTGGCTTTCCCCGGGGTTCTCCGGCTTCAGAGGCAGTCAGGCGTTAGGCGCAGCGGAGGGCGAGCAGCTGCAGGGCGCCCCGCCGACCTGCGCCGGCCCGCGCCCGCCGTGCGGCCAGGACGGGTCCCCCGCGTCCGCGCGCGGAGAACTCAACCTGCGGACCTCATGCAGAGCGGTCCGCCCCTCCGAGGGCGCGCCCGGCCGCCGCTGGTTGGCTGCGCGAGTCCGGAATTAGATTTTTCAGCCAATGAGAATGGCACGGGGTGTGACGCGCGGGGACGTCACGGGAATTCCCCCCGCCCGGGGGCGGGAAAGGGGCTTTCCCCGCCAGAGCCCCGGGGCGAGGTATCTCGGCGGGACGGGTGGAGAGCCGCGGAAACCGAGCCGCTGCCACGGCGAGAGGCCGGCTCAGACCCCTGGCTGGCCGCCTCGAGGGTCGGAGCGCACGTCCACACCCCCGTTCAAAACGCGCGAACCGTGAGTACTGGGCACCTGGCCGCAAGCAGCGCCCCGCGCACTCGCGCCCGACACACCTCCCGCACAGCCCGGAGGCGCGCGCCTGGCCCGGCCCGACAGACCTCTCTAGACACGCTCGTTTGCACACGCACACCTGGCATGCGCGCGCGCGGGAGCACTGAGGGCGAAGCATGGGGAGGGAATGCGGCACCCCATGAGACTGGGGGCGAGTGGGTGCGCAAGGCCGGCCCCACGGGGAAGCGCCCCCCGCCCACGGGCCGCAGGAATGTCCCCCAAAAGCCCCGGGGGTGAATCAGCCGCAGGCTTCCTCCGGGCAGAAAATCCCAAGGTTGCTCCAGGCCCGGCCCCTCACTGCGCTGCCCATCCGCCCGCCCGGTCCGCCGAGCCTCCCACCCCTCCCGCCGCGGAGGCGGGGCCAGTGGCGTCACTTCCAGGCCCGCCCTCCGGCCCCGCCTCCCTCTGGTATTTTCGGGACTTTCCTAAACTGCTCTAACTTTCTGCCCCTTCCCGGCCCAGCCCGGCTCCGCCGGATCTCGCCCGCCACACCCCGGACGGGCAGCTGGAGGAGACCGGGGACCCCTCCTGCCCACCCTGTCCTGATCTGTCCCCCGTCCCCTGCCGCTCTTCCCCACCGTAGGCCGGTGCCTCAAACTCTAGGAAGCACAAGCAGGGCCGAAGCCGCCAGGCCGGACCCAGCCCAGAGGCATGGACAGTTGCTACGACCCAGTGAGTCCCGCTGCCGGCCCCGAAGGTGGCCAGTGCCCTGTGTCTGTCTGCCAGCGCCCCCTGGCTCCCTTGCGCCTGTGTCTCCAGATGGTCTCACCCTGCCTTTGTCCACCTGTCTGCAAACTCCTCCCCGGAGGGGCTTTCTCGGGGGGCTCGGGGAGGAGGGCAGCGGCCCCGGAGGCTCGGAGCTGGGAGGCAGAGGGCCCTGGGTGGCTCGGGATCCACCACCACCTCCACCTCCACCCTGCCTCCAAACCAGGGCCTGGATGGCCTCGATGAATATGATGATTTCAAATTCAGCCCCTCCTTTGTGGAACCCAAGGAGCCAGCCCCAGAGACGGGTCAGTAAGTCCTGCGACCTCCCGTGTCCTGAGGGAGGAGGGAGAGCTTGTGCCCTCTGCTGGGGAGGGTGGGCTCTGGGCACGTGCTCAGCAAGGCCCCTCTGTCCCCAGCTGATGGCCCCTACCTGGTGATTGTGGAACAACCTAAGCAGGTGAGTGAGCCAAAGGCGTGTGTGGCCCGGCTTCAGCTTTGGGGGCGAGTGGCAGCTTAGGTGGCCATGGTTCGGGGAAGATGCTTGGGGCCGCTGTGGTCCCCGCCGGCCGGGAGCATGGCTGCCTTGGGTGGTCTTCTTGACGGCAATGTCACTCTGCCTGGACCTTCAGCGTGGCTTTCGATTTCGGTATGGCTGTGAAGGTCCCTCCCATGGAGGCCTGCCGGGTGCCTCCAGCGAGAAGGGCCGGAAGACCTACCCCACTGTCAAGGTGAGCCAGCCGGGGCTGGAGGGAGGACAGCAAGGCTGGGGCATCAGCTGACAGCCCTGCCCCCTCAGATCTGTAACTACGAGGGACTGGCCAAGATTGAGGTGGACCTGGTGACACACAGTGACCCGCCTCGTGCTCACGCCCACAGCCTGGTGGGCAAGCAGTGCTCGGAGCTGGGGGTCTGCGCCGTGTCTGTGGGACCCAAAGACATGACTGCCCAGTAGGTGGCCTCAAGCCCTGACCCCCGTTGCGTGCTAGTTCTAGGCCCCAGCCCACCTCTGCTTAGGGCCAAGTACTATAAACTGGAACAGCTTCCCGGAGGAAGCAGGGCTGGGCTGGGGTGGGCTGGCTCGGGAGGCGACCTCAGGAGGAAAGGACTGCTTGGGGCTCCTCTGACTCCTCCCGGCCCAGGTTTAACAACCTGGGCGTCCTGCATGTAACCAAGAAGAACATGATGGAGATTATGATTCAGAAACTTCAGAGACAGCGGCTCCGCTCCAGGCCCCAGGGCCTCACAGGTGCACAATGGAGTCAAGCGAGGTGCTGGGAAGGAGCATGGTGGGAGGAGCCCGGGGCCACTGTCTCCTCCGTACCCAGAAGCTGAGCGGCGGGAGCTGGAGCAGGAGGCCAAGGAGCTCAAGAAGGTGATGGATCTGAGCATCGTGCGCCTGCGCTTCTCCGCTTTCCTCCGGGCCAGCGACGGCTCCTTCTCCCTGCCCCTGAAGCCGGTCATCTCCCAGCCCATCCACGACAGCAGTGAGTGTTCAGGCCAACAGGGCCAGGCCTGGGGGCCAGAGGCAGCGCGGGGCCCTCCAGGTGCAGGGTCCATGGCCCTGGGCTCGGACTTGGCCCTGCCCTGTGACACTGTGGCCCCCAGCGAGTCAATTCTCCCCGCCGAGGGTCGCTTCTGTCGGGGGCAAAGGCGGGTGCTCAAGTCCGGAGCTTCTGGGTGGCGGAGGTAAGGGCAGGGAAGCCCCTGGCTCTCCATGCGAGCAGCAGGGCAGAGTATCACCTCAGCTGGCCCTCTCCCACCCCAGAGTCTCCGGGGGCCTCCAACCTGAAGATTTCTCGAATGGACAAGACAGCAGGCTCTGTGCGGGGCGGAGATGAAGTTTATCTGCTTTGTGACAAGGTGCAGAAAGGTGAGCCTGGCACCCAGCCTGGGAGCTCGGTCACTGGCGTGAGATGGGGGCCGGGGTTCAGCTCTGCTCCTGCCTGCAGATGACATTGAGGTTCGGTTCTACGAGGATGACGAGAACGGATGGCAAGCCTTCGGGGACTTCTCTCCCACAGATGTTCACAAGCAGGTGCCCAGGGGCCGTGCGGGGCTGGGGACTGCACTGGCGAGGCCTCCCTGACACCCTGTTTCCCCCCAGTATGCCATCGTGTTCCGGACGCCCCCATACCACAAGATGAAGATTGAGCGGCCCGTAACCGTGTTCCTGCAACTGAAGCGCAAGCGCGGGGGAGACGTCTCCGACTCCAAGCAGTTCACCTATTACCCTCTGGTGGAAGGTAGGCTGGCCTGCGGAAGGGCGGGCGGAGGGCGCCGCACGCGGGTCCAGAACTGAGGTTCTAACCTCGCGTTTCCCTCTGCCCCAGACAAGGAGGAGGTGCAGCGGAAGCGGAGAAAGGCCTTGCCCACCTTCTCCCAGCCCTTCGGGGGTGGCTCCCACCTGGGCGGAGGCTCTGGGGGCTCGGCCGGGGGCTATGGAGGAGCCGGCGGAGGAGGTGAGGGGCGCGGGCCGGGGCCATACAGGAGCCCGGACAGGGGCGCGGGCCGGGGCTTGGGCGCGGACTGAGCGCCTTGCACCCACAGGTGGCAGCCTCGGCTTCTTCCCCTCGTCCTTGGCCTACAGCCCCTACGCGTCGGGCGCGGCGCCCGCGGGCTGCTACCCCGGCGGCGGGGGCGGTGCGCAGATGGCGGAGGCCGCGGCGGGGACGAGCGCGGCCCCCGGGGCCCCGCAGCGCGAGCCGGAGGCGCCGTCGCCCGCCGAGCGGGAATATAGCGCGCGCCTACTGGGCCTGGCGCGGCGCGAGGCCCGCGCGCTGCTGGACTACGGCGTCACGGCGGACCCGCGCGCGCTGCTCGCCGGACAGCGCCACCTGCTGACGGCGCGGGACGAGAACGGGGACACGTAGGCTGCCGGCGGGGCGGGGCGGGGCGGGGCGGAAGTTCCTACCCAAGGTCTCCACCCTCCGCCCCGCGGCTCTGCCAGGCCGGAGAGGGCCACAGAACTGGCCGCCGTCTGCCTGCCAAGGGCCGGGGACGGCGCCGCTGTGGTCCGGCCTTGCCCTGGAAACACCGGCTGAGGCCAGCTGCGGGCTCACCAGCCTCACCTCCTCCCCACCCCAGGCCCCTGCACCTGGCCATCATCCACGGGCAGGCCGCAGTCACTGAGCAGATAGCCCACATCATCTACCACGCGCCGCACCTCGGCGTCGCCAACCTCACCAACCACCTGCACCAGGTGCGGGGCGCTCACGCGAGTAGGGGCTGGAAGGCAGGTGAAGCTGAGCCAGGGTGTGGCGAGCTCACCTTGCCTTTCTTCCCAGACGCCCCTGCACCTGGCGGTGATCACGGGACAGACTCGGGTGGTGAGCTTCCTGCTGCAGGTGGGGGCGGACCCAGCTCTCCTGGACCGGCACGGAGACTCGGCCATGCACCTGGCGCTGCGGGCAGGTGTGGGGGCCCCAGGTCTCCTGCGCGCACTGCTGCAGAGTGGGGCTCCAGCTTTGCCCCAGCTGCTGCACATGCCCGACTTTGAGGGTGAGTGCCTGCCTCGGAGGACCCCGGGCGCACCTGAGGTGCAGGGGCGGACAGGTCAGGGCTGTGGGTCACAGTTCCAGGCTGTCCTGCTCCCCTAGGACTGTACCCAGTGCACCTGGCAGTGCGCGCACGCAGCCCGGAGTGCCTGGACCTGCTGGTGGACAGCGGGGCCGAAGTGGAGGCTGCGGAGAGGCAGGGTGGCCGGACTGCCCTGCACTTAGCCACGGAGATGGAGGAGCTGGGGCTGGTCACCCATCTGGTCACCAAGGTGGGAAAGGACGGGGGGAGGGGTGGGGCCAGGGGCTGTGGAGAACCAGGCCGAGATCACCCTCTCCCTTGCACCCCACAGCTCCACGCCAACGTGAACGCCCGAACCTTTGCTGGAAACACACCCCTACACCTGGCAGCTGGCCTGGGGTCCCCAACCCTCACCCGCCTCCTGCTAAAGGCTGGTCAGTCTCATCCACACAGGCATTTGGACAGGGCAAGGGGGAAGGGGTGCCGGCCAGACCCCCCCCTTTCAGGCCTTAACGTGGGCCCCACTGTCCTTCCCCCAGGTGCTGACATCCATGCAGAGAACGAGGAGCCCCTGTGTCCGTTGCCCTCCCCACCCACCTCTGGGAGCGACTCGGATTCTGAGGGTCCCGAGAGGGAAACCAGAGGCAGCTTCCGGGGCCACACACCACTTGACCTCACTCGCAGCACCAAGGTGAGGCCAGCCTGGCACTGGAAGCCCCAGGGCACCTCCTGGATTTGGGGATGGCAGCCAGTGTGTGGGTTTAAGGGTAGGCGGGCTTAAGGACTGGGATGGGAGATCCTCAAAGCTGCCTCTCCAGGTGAAGACCTTGCTGCTCAATGCTGCTCAGAATCCCACAGAGCCCCCGCTCACCCCTCCCAGCCCTGCAGGTGAGGCCTCAGCAGAATCCCTCACCCCTCCTCAGAGGTCTCTGTCCTCCGTCCACTGCCCCAGCAGCCCCATCTGTCAGGTCCCCAGGAAGAAAGCCAGTAAGCAGTTGTTTGGTCTCTGTCCTACCTAGAGGCAACTCACATCTGTGTACCCTCAGGGCCAGGGCTCTCCCTGGGCGAGACCACCCTGCAAAACCTGCAGCAGCTGCTAGATGGGCCAGAAGCCCAGGGCAGCTGGGCAGAGCTGGCCGAGCGGCTGGGGCTGCGAAGTCTGGTGGACACATACCGGAAGACCCCCTCACCCAGCAGCAGCCTCCTGCGCAGCTACAAGGTGGGGCACACGGCCCATGTCCCCTGGCCCAGCCGCATGTCACACCTCCACGCCTGATGCTTCCTGGCCCCTGGGCTCCCAGCCCCTCACCCTAACCACCACTCAGACCTCTGCGCCCTCCTCCTCCTCAGCTGGCTGGCGGGGACCTGGCGGGGCTGCTGGACGCCCTGTCTGACATGGGTCTGGACGAGGGGGTGAGGCTGCTGAGAGGGCCCGAGACCCGAGAGAAACTGTCCGGCACAGGTAGGCGGGCCTCCCTGGAAGGGGCATTTGGGCCCGGGATGGGAGGCCTGGGGGCCTGACTGTGCCCTTCTTCACCCTTCCCGTGTCCCGCCAGCCGAAGTGAAGGAAGATAGCGCCTACGGGAGCCAGTCCATGGAGCAGGAAGCGGAGACACGGGGCCCGCTCCCCGAGCCTCCTGGAGGCCTCTGCCATGGGCACCCCCAGCCTCAGGTGCACTGAGCGGGGACCCCCACAGCCCGCCTGGACCCCTGTACAGCATTCCTACCTGCTCCAAATCTTATTTAACACCCACTGCCCACACCTCAGCTGGGGCAAATAAAGGATTCTCAGAAAGGGGAGGACCCTCTCCAGTGTGGCTCTGGTCCCTGTCCTGGCCCCAAGCCAGTGAGAGAGGAGAGGCCCAGCCAGCAATTCAGAGCAGTTTTAATGGGGTGGAGGCTGTACAGAGGGCAGGGCCCAAGGAGGGGAGCAGGCCGTGCTGCTGGCCTGTGCGTGGCGCCCTTCGCCACCTCTGGAACAGAGAGATGAGCCCTTGGGGAGGAGGAGGGAAAACCAGCCCAGCCCCAACTCCTGGCCTCTGTCTGAGCCAGGTCCCAGGATGGGGACTGCTAGGGTCAGGGTGGGTGGTCTCAGCAGAAAGCAGAAACGTCATCAGGCCTCCCCCCCACACAAAAAAAATACTGCATCAAAATTCGGGCACTTGTCCCTCCCCCCACCCCACCCCCTGTAGGAAAAAGTGCAAACATTATCACAAAGGGGTCTCCGGGGCCCTCAGCCTAGGCGCCCAAGGCCGAACCTGCCCTGCCCTGCCCTGCCCTGCCCAGACCCCGCGTCCGGCGCGGTCGGGCCCTGCTGGGAGGCCCTGTGTGGCCCGAGGCCTGCCGGGCTCAGGCAGGGCCTGTCGTCATGCAGGTGCCCAAAGACACCCCCACGCTGCCTGTCCCAGCTCAGGGCTTCCGGGGTGCGCTGCCCGCGCCGGCCCGCGCTGCTGAGCCAGGGCGCTGGGCCCGCGGCGGGCCGCTGGGGTCAGGCTGTGGGGCGGGGCCCCGACGAGGCGGGGGACGGGCCTCCTCCTCGCTCCCGGCCTGGGCCAGCACGGCCTCCATGGTGTCCAGCCCCTCGCCGGCGGCCTTCAGCTTGACCCGGAGCAGCGCTGCATAGGTGCCATAGCGAGATTTCTGCGGCAGAGGGCAGGGCTGGAGAGCCAGTCTCCCCGCCAGCCACGAGGCCCAGGCGTGGCGGCGCTGTTCTCCTCCGGAACCCCTGCGCTGTGAGGGGCCTGACAGGCCCGGCCCTCCGAGCTCCCAGGACTCCAGGGGACAGCTGGTGTCTCCCAACGGGCGCCTCACTTCCCGAACCCAGTGTGGGAAGCGCCCTGCCCAGGCCGCCCACAGGTTCCATGCTGTTCAGTCCATGCCCTTGGCCCAGCCCGGGGCGGGGGGCAGGCAGGGGGGCTCACCTCGAACTCCAGGTAGGCCTCCTTCTGCCGCTGCTCATCCGCCTCCTTGCCTCGGGCCTTCTTCCCCAGCTGGGTGGCCCGGTGCTCACGAAGCTCACTTGCCATGGCCTTCAGCTTGGCTTCGTGGGTCCGCACCTGCTCTTCCTGGCAGCCCAGGGAGCAGAGTCAGGGTCACTATAGCCTGTGCAATGGTCACCATCTGTCCCTTCCTTCGGGCAAGAATAGCATCGTGTCTGGTCCCAGACCAGCAAGCAGAGGCCAGGCAGGGCCTCGGTTTCTGCTCACCCTGTGGCCGTGTGGAGACCCAGTGGGCATCTACCTAATCCCTCGAAGCCAGCAGACCGAGTGCGGTCCACCTGGGCCCGCCCACCCCATCCCTCTGACCCAGATGGGCCAAGCAGCCAGGGCTACCTGGGAGAGCCGGGTGGCAGCACTGGGCAGCAGCGGACGGCTGAACTTCTTCTGGGAACTGACAGCAGCTGGGAAGGGGGGTGCAGAGAACATGGCGGCCACCACGTTGATGCGAGTGATCCAGGACTGCATCTGCTCCAGGCTCCTGCAGACACACGGCCCTTGGGACCTGGGCTGCTCGGGGTGTGGCCGGAGGACAGACGCAACCCCAGGGCACAGACTGGAGCAGGTGGAGTGGGGTGCAGGGATCCGGCGGGGTGTGTGCGTGCGTGCGCGAGTCGGGCACTCACGGAGCCTGGAAGAGGAAGACCCGCCAGTCCGCCGTGCGCAGGTAGAAAACATGGGGCCTCTTGCTGTAGTCGCTGGCTCGAGTGGCCAGGGCGTGGTGGATGCTGATGGCGTTCTTGAGCTCGGCCTCAGAGAGCGCCTTCCCGGGCTGGTACTCCTCCTGCGGGGTGCCACCTTGTCCTGTCCTGTCCAGGCCGGGCCTGGCCCACCCGCCCACACGGCTCCCTCTCCCAAGCCAGCGGCCCACCCGTGGCGCCCCACACCTTCTGCAAGTAGAGAATCATGCCCTTGAGGATCCCGTGGAAGCTCTTCCAGCCCCGCTTGCCCCGAGGCGCTGGGGAGGGAAGGCAGGTCAGGGGGGCTGGGCAGGCCCCTCCCATCCACCCACCCCCTCCTCCACGTACTCTTCCGGCAGTCGGGGTCTGCGTGCACCTTGCGCACCAGGGACCCGTGCTTGTAAACGGCGGCCCCGGGCTCAGGAGTCAGGTCCAGGAAAGGGCTGGAGCCGCTGCCGCTGCCCCCGCTGACCCGCTTGATGACCTTGGGGTTGGGGTCGGCCAGTTCAGACAGGGAGCGCCTCAGCTCTTCCTCGTCTCTGCGGGGGCGAGGGCCTCAGAGGGGCTGCCAGGAAGGCCCAGCCCGCCCTGGAGAGCTCCCGAAACTGGAGGCTCTGCCACGTGGGCTCCCCTCCAGGCAGCACCCCACCCCCACGCACTCAGTAGAGCTGCTGGCCACTCCCTCCCGCATACCCATCCCTGTCCTCCATCTCTGCACACACCCTTCTCTACCAGGACAGACATGTCTGAGTCAGCTGTTCCAAACACATCTAACATCAGCCTTTGCTCAAAGTTTGTGGGTTAAATGGTTACAGAAGGAAGAGATGGCTTCCTAGTGCCTCACGCCATCTTGGTAGGCTCTGTCAGACATCTGTCAAATAAATAATCAGATTCTATTTGTCACTCCCTAGCTCAAGAATCTACTATAGCGCCCTACTGCCTCCCACATGGAACCTACACCAGCCTCCTACGACACTCATTCTCACTCCAGCCAGCCCTACCTCCTCCTGGCCTCCCCATTCCACACTCATTTCAAACAGAACTTTGTCTCCCAAATTCCCACTTTCCTTCTCCTCTTTCCAAATGCTTTCCCTCCTTCAAGACTCACCTAATTTCCAATCCTCCAAAAGGCCTTCCCTGGCCCTGGCCCTGGCCCTGAGCTCGACCTCTGCTGACCGCTCTCCTCAGGACTGGGAGCTCCCAGCTAACACAAATGATCAGCTGACCACAGGCAAGACAGTGGTAACCTCGGAACCAGACCCACAGCCAGCACTGGGCCTTCTCCCTCAGACTGCACTCTACACTGAGTCTCAGTTTCTACTTGTGGCAGGCAGCCAAGAAAAAACCACGTGGCTGGCTGTCCCGAGACACAAACGTCACTGCGCCCCAAGGGCCTCCACTTGGGGCTAGGGGACAGCTCCAGAGATGCCTGCTTTCCAGCTGTGCTGCCAGCACTTTCCTCCCGTGCAAGCTCCCTGTCACAACAGCCCAGCTGGAGACAAGGCAGAGATCCCATCCAGCCAGGACGGCCAAAGAAGGAAGCCAGGCGGCCTTTGCAGCTCACTCCCCTCCCCACGCCCAGGGCCCTGGACTCACATGGCCCACTGCAGCTTCTCATTCTTGATGGAGCTGTACAAGGCCTAAGAAGGAACAAACGGGGCAGGGGTCAGGGCCAGGGAAGTCCACTATGTTCCTGAGAATCAGCGCTCAGAGCGCACCTCCCAACTTGGGAGGGAGATGGGTCGGGCCAGGGGGGCAGCAGGGCCACAAACACCACGGCTCCAGTCCCCAGAGCCAGCCCTGGCTCTGCCATTTCAGCTGCATGCCCTTGCACAGATACCTCGGAGAGGAACAAACCTAGCAACATGCGGGGGTGAACAGGTGCACTGGGGCCCTGACACAGGGCGGATGCGGGCTGAACGACAGCTGCGGTGGTGCTGCTGCTGCGAAAGTTCTTCCGCTCCAAGCCTGGTGGGAGCGTAGCCCCAAAGAAGATGCAGAGCAGCCTCTGGCCTGTTTCCACAAGACAGACTCACGTGTGTACACGGGGAAACTGAGGCCGGGGACAGAAACCCCCTCTCTCGGCTCCTTCCTTGACCAGTGGAGGATGTGCTCTCCCGGCTCCAAACCCGGGACAAGCTGGCCCCTCCGCGGCACTGCCAAGCCGCCCGCATCACGTCTGGAGGCGTCAGGCTGCGCACCAGTCTGAAGCGCTCTTCTAGCTTCCAACCCCTGCCCACCGGAGCTGCGAGCTCCCGAACCACTTATTCCCGTCGCACCGGTGGCCTGGGGACACCAGGGAGCCTTGGGGCCTCAGAGGACAGCAAGGGCTCCAGGAGTGGCCGGCAGAGGGGCCCTGTGGGGGCGCCCGCCAGCCGTCTGTGAGTGGGTGTGTCCCAGAGTGTGCACAAGCTGCTGTGTGTGGCCGCGATGCTGCCTGCGTGCGAGCTGTGTGCAGCCGTGACGTCGGCGCCTCCCCAGGACTGGGTCACAGCACCCCGCCGCGTGCACCCCAACACCAGCCGCTGACTCTCACCGCCCACGGCCCCGCCTGCCGCAGGCCGGCAGGGGTCCCCACCCGCACCCCTGCACGGTGGGGGCGCCACGGCACGCCCCTCCCATCAACACCGCCTTCACCCGAGTCGAGCTGGATCCTCCCTCCCAGCGGCCCCAGCCTTCCGGGGCACCCTGCCCGGCTCAGGACCCCCGCTCGAAGGTCCCGAACGCCACGCGCGACCCGTGCCGGGCTCCCCCCGAGAAAGACGCGGCTCGCGAGGCCACGCCGCCCCCAGTCCGCGCCCAGCTCCAGCCGCCCACGGCGCCGGGGCCCCTCCGCGCCTCACCGCCTTCTTCTTCCTGCGGCTCTGCAGGCGGCTGACCACCAGGTCCGTGTAGAGCACGGGCTTGAGGCTGCGCGAGCGCTGGGGCCAGCCGTAGCACAGGGTCTCGGCGCCGCGGTGCGTGCGTCCGTAGCGCACGGAGCACAGCGAGCGCGAGCGCAGCCGCCCCGCGCCGCTGTGGATGCTGTTGACGCCGATCATGCTGGCCGCGCCATGCCCCCGCCCGCCCCGGCCGAGCCCCCGCCCGGACGGACGGACGGACGGCTCCCGGCAGCCGGCGCGCGCGGCCTGAACCCGGCCGGCGCCCACCGACGCACGGAGCGCGGCGCGGCACGCGCGGGGGAGGGGGCGCCGCGGGGAGCGGGGCGGGGAGCGGGGCGGGGGCGGGGCGGGGGGGGGGCGGGGAGCGGGGCGGGGAGCGGAGGGGAGGAGCGGGGAGGAGCGGGGAGGGGAAGGGAGGCCAGCGGGGGCGCATGCGTGGGGCGCCGGGCTCGAAGGCGGGGTCGGGGCTCCCTGCCGGGTGGCGGCGAACAAACTGCCACCTGGTTGTGGCTCGGCTGGCTCGCCCGCAGACACCCCACTGGCGTCCACACGCACCCCAAGTGCCCCGACCCGGCAGTTCACACCGCCACGGCTCACACGCACCGCCCTCTCACTCCAAGGTGCACAAGGTGCACGCACACCCAGCCGACGCTGAAGAACAGGCCCGAGCCACGCGCGGGGCTCAGAGACTCCCTGCTGTCGACACAGCCCGGCTGCCCGCTCACCGACTCCCCAAGCACCCGGACACGCCGGCAGCCCTCAGGCCCAGACCGGCAGTCACGTGTGTGTAGTGGCCCCAGACCCTCCGACGCACCCTGGCGTTTCCCCGTGAGTCCAGGCCTCTGGCTAACACGCCACCAGTGCGGCAGGGCTGAACCCGGGGCCTGCCCTGCGTTTGTGGCCGGAAGGCAGGAGCGGCCCTGGAGAAAGCCTTTGGCCCTCTTGGCCCTCAAGCTGCGGGAGCCCTGGACACCCTGGAGGTGGGGAACTGAGAGGGTGGTTGCGGGTCCAGGCCCCCTGCGTCACTGTGGCCTCCGCCCTCCCTCAGCCCCAGACGGCTGCTCAGCCCGCCCCCCACCTTAAGCAGCTCCCTGGGGAAGTCGCCTCCGTCGTTGAGGCCCTCCAGGTTCCCGATGAAGTCCCCACAGGTCATGCGCTTCCCTATGTTCTGAAGGAGAAACACGCCCGTGAGTTTGGGGGCTTCTGGCCGCCTGGGCCTCGGCGGCCCTGACAGGGGTCTGGTCTGGCTCCCCGCCCGCCCGCCCCACTCACGTGGCCGTGGAGATCAGTGTTGAGTAGCATGAGGGCGCAGGTCAGTGTGTGGGCGCCGTCTGGGGGAGGACAGACTTCAGCTTGGCCGCCCGGAGCGCTTCTCTGCTGCCTGGCCTAACCTCCCCGGGCAGACCCTCAGGGGCCCTTTGGCCCACAGCCTGAACCCTGTTAGGACCCTTCCCCACCTCTCCTCCAGCAGCTCCCTCAGCAAGGGCCTCTCCTCCTCCGGGGTCCTCCCTAGCTCCCTGTACAGCTGTGTGGACCCGTGCGACACCCCTCTCAGCCTAGCGCTGTGCTGCATACGGATGTGAACAACATGCAGACACACCTGCCACCTGCCTCTTGGCTCCTGACCCCAGCAGCACGCCTGCTCAGTGTGTAGCTCCACACACCTGCAGCCCTGCCAGCCCTGCCTGTACACATGCATGCTCACACACCTGCAAGCGTGTGCATTCACTCCTGTGCACACGTGTCCCACCTAGCCCATCCACCTCCGTGGCCAGCAGGGACAGCACTGCCCCCAGCTCCTCACCCTCTGAGGACAAAGCTTCAGGGTTGCACTGGAAGTACCGCTGGGAGAAGTGGGCCAGCACACGCTCCCGTTCCTGGGTCTCACCCATTAGGGCCAGCTCCTTGAGAAACACCCTGGAGGGGCAAAGGGAGGCTTCATCCTTACCCGGGGCCTTTATCAGGTGGCCCTGGCCTCTGGCCATGCTGGTAGCTTGGGAGGGCTGACGTCAGGACAGTTAGGGTCAAAGGGCTCAGGGGAGGCATAGCTGGGGCCCTGTGCACCAAGCCTGGAGAGTGGAGACCATCCTCCAGGGGTTTGCACCCACCTGAGAGCTTGGTCCAGAGTCATGCCCGTGAAGACAAAGAACTTGAGATACTCTCCCGCCACCAGCTTGCTGAAGTCATTGCTGTAGGCAGGCAGAAAGACGGGGGTCTCAGGGGAAGTGGCAGGGATTGGCTGGGGTTACCTAGAGACCTAGGTGAGCTAGATGGCAGGATGTGGAGGTGCTGGCCAGGATCTCGCCCTCCACCCCCAGCCCCGGCCCCACCAGTGGCTTTACTTCTTGCCCAGGTGCCGGGCCACATCAGCCTTCCTGAAGCCATCTAGGCGGTACAGCCTCTTGGCAAGGCGCTGTGCGGCCTCCAGATCCGCTTTCTGCCCATTGGACAAGGTATCCGTGCTTCCCAGCGCCAGCCGCTCTGTGCTGTCCAGCTCTGAGTCTGAGTCTGAGACCAGCTGACTCAGGGGTGGCTCACTGCCGGGAGGACAGCAGGTCAGGGTGGGGCAGAGCTCCCAGAGGTCACCCAGATCCGCCCTGGGCCGCCAGCCCCTGAAGACAGAAGGGGAGAGAGGCGTGGGAAAGCATTTCTCTCTCCGGAGCTGGAGATGGCACAGGCTGTCTGGGCCAGCCTGCTTCATCACTGCTGCCTCTCTGTGAAAGTCCAGCCTCAAATGGAACCTTCATGTCTTGCTGCTGTGGGAGTTTTGCTCCCAGGGGCCCAAGTTTCCCCGTGGAGGTAGATTCTCCACCCCATGCTAGCCCTCTTCGGAACATAGACCTCTGTCTGCGCCTGTGGGCCGAAGTGAGATGGATGGGCTGCAGGAGAAACAGGGAGGGCAGAGCAGAACCCAGGGCAGTAGGGACACTCTTGTGCCCCCAGGTCTGTCCTCCAGCCTCTCCTTGGCTCCTCCCTCTGCCCACAAAGAAGCAAGCCCTAGAGTTAGGGAGACTGGGGCTGCGGGTCAGGGTGCGCCCCTCACCCCTTTCTCCTCCTCCCCTTCCTTCCCACCCCAGCTGCTCTACTGGAAAAGCCACCTGTCACCCCAGAGACAGAGGAGGGGCGGAAACTCCTGGTTGCTAGGCAACCGTCTCCCTGGCCACCCCCCTCCTGTTGCCATGGCTTCCACGACTGAGAGGGTAGCTGGCAAAGGGGAGAGCAGAAAGGTTAGGCTGTGAAAGGACTTCCCTGGAGCAGGGAGAGAGACACCCTGGGAGGAACAGCATGAGAGGGAGGTGAGAGGAGGCTGGCTCCATCTTTGGAGAAGCTTCCAGGCTGGGTGGAGGTGAAAGACTCCCTGGGGAAGGACAGGGCCTCCAGGACAGAAGGAGGAGGTTCTCTGAGGACCTTTCCATCCCGAATCACAGTTTTCCAATCCCAGGGTCTGAGCCCAGGGGAGGCAATGCTCCAAATGGGAAGACACGTGTGTTAGTCCCCGACTCGGGTCAGGGATGACAACTGCACCCTCACACTGGGGATCTGGGTCCTGGGGACCTTGGGGCTGAGGAGCCAACGCCATCACTCACCTGCCCAGGGGTGCTGCCCCCCGCCCGAGGCCGTCCTCTGAGTGGCAGGGACTAGGGGTCTCCCTCCCTGGGGGCAGCTGGGCTCCAGACTCTGCCTCCTCCTCCTCCTCCTCCTCCCCTCTTGGTGTCCAAGGACCGTCAGCAGCAGAGCTGGTACCGGAATCCGGCTCCCGAGGGGCAAGTGGGGCGGGAGCAGGTGGGTCAGGCCGGGGCGCAGGGGGCTGGGGAGGCAGCTCAAAGGTGAAGAAGGGGCTCTGGGTTGGGCCAGGTGAGGCCAGGGCCTCCAGAGAGGCGAGGCTGGTGTAGGAGGTCCCCTTGGCCCGGTGTGACTCCAGGATGGCTTCGAACACACAACTGAAAGAGTCAGGCCCATTGGCAGAAGGGCTGGTCCCAGGGAGGAAGGGCACGGGTGACTTGACAGGCCCAGGGCGAGGCATCCGGCTCCCTGGCCTGCTGGGTGGGGAGGGTCTGATCAGAGGTCCCAGCACCGGCCACGAGCAGGGTCTCTGAGCTCTCACTCTGCCCTACACAGGATCCTCTTCCCCCTTCCACAGGCTGAACCCCATTCCAAAACAAAACAAAAGCCAAGAACCACCTGGCTAGAGGGTGCAAGAGATTCTGCACCTCTGAGGCACCTGGCCTGCCGCCTCCAGCACCCAAGGCCCTCCCCTCCCTCCCTGCTAATCTCCCTTGCTCCTTCTTTCCCTGATCCGCTTCCTCCTGCCATCCAGTTTCTATTTCTGGCAACATCTTAGGAGAAGATGAGGCTCCAGGCTGCCGTGGGGTGTGAGACAGAGGAAAGCCCCACACTGCCCCTCTCCTGCGGGGACCCAGCTTTCAGACTGGTGTCCCTTGTCACAGGCTGGGTTCCGACTTCTGGCCTCGCCCCAGCCCCAGCCCCCCGAGAACCCCAGCCTCGATATCGGGCTGCTGCTCAGCCTCCGAGGGTCTTGATGCCCGCACAGCCCACTGCTAAGCCGGGCCTCGGGCCTCAGGCCTCTGGTTCCCCACACCGCCTGCTCAGCACCACCCACCTGCTTCAGACCCTCTCACCCTGCCCGTCTCTGTCCCAACCCCTCTGTCCCCAGCCCCCTCAGGGCCAGCAGAAAGCAAGGAGCTTTCGCACGTCTCCACTCACCGGGCCCCCTCGGAGGCCTCAAACACCTCGTCATCCACATCCTCATCCTCATCGCCACTGCCCAGGCTGGAGCAAGGCCTGGGGCACAGGCCAGGGTGTGGGGCGGCCGGGCGGGCAGTGCCAGGCAGGCCCTCAGAGCTGGGCTGACTCTCAATGGCCGAGTCGGCTTCCTCTCGCTCAGCCAGCACCTCGTCAATGTTGGTCTCTCGGTAGCACCTCAGGGGCACCGCATCCAAGTCCGTCTCAGAGTACTCAGCTGCTCGCCCCACAGCCACCCCAGAGCCCGGCCCCGAGCCCACCGTGGCGGGGGCGGGGACCGCCTGCTCCGGGGGCTTAGCACCTGTGTAGCGTGCACAGGATCCAGATCAGGGGCTATTGGTTCAGGGCTGTCCTGGTCCTGTCTGGACTCCCCCAGGGCCTCCAGTGGGCAGGAAGTCTCCTCACTGTCTGGCCACCATTCCTCCTGCTGCCGGGGATGGTGGGACTCATTGCAAACAAAGTGCCTGTCCAGCAGCTCTCAGAAGCCTCTTTTCTAGTCCAAGGGGTGACCTGTAATGTCCGGCCATCCCTGCCCTCCCTGATCTGCTTCCTCCAGGCCCTCTCCAGTCCCAGGTATGGTACAGATGGGGAGAGGACAACCTGAGGAAGTTCTGGCCTTGGCCCTGGGAAGGACTGGGGAAGTCTCCAAGGAAGCCCTCCGACCAGTCCTCAGCTGCTGTGAGGGGCCCTGCTTGTTCCCCTCGCCTCACTCCCAGGCCTTACCTGAGCTGTGGGGGTCCAAGGAGCCATAGAAGAATTCCCATTTGGCTCGAGCAATCCTCTGGGCATGGGAGGAGACTTCCTTGGGGGAGGACCAGGGGTCCCCCTGAGCCACAGAGGGACAGATAAACAGGCACCCAGAGATGAAGCCAGGCATACAAAGACACAAGAGTATGGGGCAGAAATAGAAAAACACACAGGGACAGACACAGAGGACAAGAGAAAGAGAGATTTAGGGTATTAAAGGATTCAGCATGAACAGCAGACAGGCCTAAGTCTGACAGGGCCAAGGTGAGTCCCTTCACGGGGCACTAGGACTCCAGGGAGCCCACAGCTGGCCACATACCTGGTTCAGGAGCCCAGTGTCAGCAGGTCCTCGGCATAGTGTGGCTAGGTGCTCAGGAGGGGCCCCCAGGCCGTTAGGGAGAGAGCAGTACAAGCCATCTGCCCCAACCTGGGGTGGGACTGGTGGCCCACAGAGGGAGTTCTCGCTGCCAGGAAGGGCAGAGCCTCCTGCAGCCGGAAGGGGGTCTGATGTGGATGCCTCCAGCCGAAACTTTCGGGTGGAGCCAGGACCAAGGGCTGGGGTGGGCCTGGAAGAAGACACCCCGCCCAGGTCCCAGCTCCGACTCAGGCCTCCAGACGCGGGTAGCCCATTCAGTGGCCTCACGCTGGCCTTCTCCACAAAGCGGAAGATGACCACAGAGCTCCGGGTCCCTGGTGGGGGCTGCCCAGGGGGTGAGGAGGGTGCCCAGGGTGAGGGAGCAACATGAGCAGAGGGAGGACCTCGCAGAGGTGTACAGGGTGCCGTCACACGTCCCAGGTCCCGGCCTCGAGGCCCTGGGCCTGCCACTCGCCGCAGCAGGGAGCCTGTGCTGCCATACATGCTGGCGGGGGGGCTCTGGGGTACTGGGCCTTCGGGGAGCCAGCGACGAGGGCATCGTGGTGGGGAGATAGCACAGTCGCCTTCTGAGCAGAAGCGCATGGCACCCTGGGCCATGCTGGGGCCGGGGGTCAGGCTGGGGGGGCAGGGATGGCGAGGCCAGGTGGGGAGCGAGGGGGCTGCATGCTCTTCAGACAGGCCTGCAAGAGAGGAGGGAGAGGGCACGAAGTCCCAGGAAGTTAGATGGGCAGGACAGCAAGGCAGGGAGGCTCTGGGGACCTCCCCACCCTGGGGTCACGGGCCGCTGAGCCCACCCTTGGGGGCTCCTTCCATGGAGGCCTGAGGAAAAGGGCACAGCTGGCCAGTGGGCCCCTGGCTCCTCTCCTTCTTCCTGGGCCCTGAGCATCACCCTGGGAGGGGAGGAAGCTAGTTCAGAAGTTGAAAAGAGCCAAGTGCCTGGGTAATTTGGAGCTGTATCTGGTGTAGGGGAGGCTGGGACCCCAGCTCTGGATCAGGAGTGTCAGCCCGGCTCCCGGACAGGCCCTCTTACAGAGCCCCCTCACTGGGGAGGGGAAGGAAGAACAGGGGTTATGTAGGGACGATGAAAGACAGGCTCAGGAGGAGGTGAGCATCGGCCTGAGCAGAGGTTCCTCCTCATACATAGATTCCGAACAAGAAAGACACTTTTTTCCACACAGGTACAGATGCACATGAACACACACACACACACACATCCATCCATGCACACTACACCCATACCTAAGGACACATATGTCAGTACACATTAAATACATTCACAAGCAACACCCTCTGGTAGACACACACACACACTGCTCAAAGACACACCCTCATACACTCTCACAGTCATAACAAATATGTGTGTGATGGAAAGGCACATGCTTGTTTTACACACACACCATCATCAAGCAGGAACACACAAAGAGGTACCAGATATATACACAGGCAATCATTCATTCTCCGGTGCACACAGAGGCACAGGTGTATCAGACAGGCCTGCTGGCCACAATCACACACGGACACAGATGCACATTTACACACATGCTCGAGCAGGGCACACACCCTCCCCTCCCCCACGGTGGTCTTCTGGTCTGGGGGAGACTGCACCACGGCCCCCCCAGGAGTGTGACTCATCTCGCCCAGCCCAGGAGGGGCCATAAAGGGATAATAGGGAGGGGTAGAGACCGAGGTCAGGAGCAGCGAGGGCACCGGGCGGGTTGCTGAAGCTGATTGACGGGGACCCCTGCACGCCCTGCAGCCCCTCCCCAGAGCTACCTCAGTACTCACCGCCGCTCTTCCGGAGCTGGGAGCGAGAGGCAGAGGGGAGGCCGGGCCTAGCTCAGCTGTGCAGGCGGCGCAGCTCCCTGCTCCAGGCCCGCCTGCCTCCGGGTCCCTCCTCCAACACCCCCACCCCGCGCCGCTCAACAACGCTAATCTCCCACCTCCCTCCGCTCCTAGGGCCCTGAGCCCCAAGGGCTGCCCCCCTCCCTCATCGCTCAATCCCCACTGGCCCCTCCCGCCGACCTCGGACCCTCCCCAGTCCAGGGGGAGGGCGAGGAGCCCGGTTCCGCTCCAGACCCTCACGTGCCCGCCGCTCTCCTGTCTGAGCCCCTCTCGCCCGCTGCCTCTTGAGCCACACGCGGGGCCCGCTCCAGACTCCACGCGTGTCCCCAGGAGGCTGCCACATGACCTGTTACATGCCACACACGCTCCCGCCCCCACGAGCACGCGGCCGCGCGAGGCACCAGTCCGGGTGTGGACCGGGCCCGCCCCCTACATCCAGAAGCCCCGCCGTGGAGGAGCTCAGAGCGGCGCCTGGTGCAGCCTTCGGGCGGGTTCTGTCTCAGACCCGAGAGACCCCGTCTCGTCACCCACCCGGGAATAAGTCGGACTTGAGGGAGAACTTGCTTGCAGCCTGAGCTGGTGCCCCCGCCCTCCAGGGGTAAGAGCTCAGGCAGCACGGCCGCGACTGGAAAGAAACGGCGGACAGGCCACCTGGTGCCCTTGGCCAGGGTGGAAGGGGGTCTGGCTATTTTAAGGAAGGGCCACACGAGTTACTATGGCAACTACTCTCCTCAGGAAAGCCAGGGCGGGTAGGTAGTGACCTCAGAAGGAAGAAGGGGTCGGCTGTGGCGGTCAGGGGGCGCGCGGAAGTGCGACGCGGGGGCGCGCGGGGCTCACCGCGGGGAGGGGTGGTGCGGCTCCGCGTGGTGCTGAAAGGGACAGCGCCAGATTGGTCGTACTGCGCAGGCGCAGAGGTGCGAACAAAGCGGGGAGAGGGAGGAGGCGCGCGGCCGGAGGTGGTGCGCGCCCACGTCTGTTTGTCTTTGCAGAGGTCAGTCCTCCTAGCTGCCCCTTCCCGGAGCAGCCTAAGAAGGGAAAGCAAGCCCTTCGTCCAAGTAGACCCCTCCTGGTCTTTTCCGGCTGCCGGCTTTTCCCTTATTGCTGCATTAAGGGGTGAGGGAGTGTGAAGGGGATTCTGGGAAAAGCAGGTTGTTTGGGTTCGCCAGCCCGGTCTCGTTTGATCCTGGCCAAGGCGCTTCCTCTCCAGGGCTTCGGTTTGCCCATCTTTAAAATGGAGTGAAAGCACAGACCTGCCCACCCCGTAGAGGTGCTGAAGCCCCGATGAGATCACGACTGGGAATGGAATGAGCAGGCGGCTGAAGCAGCTGCACTGAAGGAGTGCGCGACCCTGACCGATGGCAGTGGCCCGGCGTCCTTCACGTCTCCAGCCCGTGGATGGATGGAGGAAAGAGCAACTCCAGGGATTTCCCCGAGCCCAGCCTGGGCCTAGGACCCGGGGAGGCAGTGAGAGGGATCCCCGGCGGCCCCGCGGCCGGTCCACCCCCACCCTACAGTGACCCAGAGCCCTCGGAGAACCAGGACTCCTGGTGGTTCTCAGGACTCCAGGAAAGGAACGCGCCGCTGAATGTACAGTGCTTAACACCCCCTTCGTCTCTCCCCAGCCAAAACCCGGCCCACACTGTGTCGAAGTGGAAGGGGATGGATAGTTTTATATTTCACAACTATCTAGGGATGGGAGGTTTGATAAAGGTTGCTGAATGAAAAGGAAAATTCGAGCTTCACCCCATTTATTTGTTCTTTCAGAAATCATTATTTTGGCGGTACTGGGGATCGAACTCAGGACCTCGATCACGTTAGGCAAGTGCAAGTGCTCGTCCGCTGAGCTATCCCCCAGCCCAGGCGTTACTTACTGAGCACCTACTGCGGGCCTGCGAGTAAGAGCTTGGGCAGTTTTCCCCATTTTTCCAAGTCGATAAAGACGGGGGTGAGGGGGGGGGAACACCCTAGGATCCTGGCTCCGCCCCTCCGTCTCCAGCCTAGCTCGCTCCTCCCACTTCACTGAGGTTGCTGGCTGCGGGCCGGCCCAAGGCAGAAAAGCAGTCTTCGTCCACAGCTCCCGCAGCCTAGGGCTTCTAGCCCTGCACCCCAGGAGGCAAGATCTGATGTTACACCACTGGTGCGTTCTGCCGCAGCTTCGGATCCATCCGGAAAGCTCTCAGACAGGTTCCTCAGCTAGACTGCACTCGATTGAATCGGTCTGTCTCACAGCTCAAGTAGGCGGTTCGCTGCTGCTGTTCCAAGGCCCAAGTGAGATCTTACTGCGCACGCGCGTTAGACAGCGATGGAGTCACCAATGGAGCCGTCCGGAGTGGAGCAAGAACCTGGAGCCGTCAGGTACCGAGTGCTGGAGGGACCGAGGGAGGGTAGAGACCCAGGCGAGGGGAGCGGAGCCTCAGCCCGCGCTTACGAGCCGGAGCTCAGGAGAACAGCGGAGGCGGACCGGGAGGTAACCGCGGCCGAGGGACGCCGACGCCCCTTTCCACGCAGGCTACTGGACCTGCCCTGGGAAGACGTGCTGCTCCCTCACGTCCTGAGCCGCGTCCCCCTGCGCCAGCTGCTCCGGCTGCAGCGCGTCAGCCGGGCCTTCCGGGCGCTTGTGCAGCTGCACCTGGCTGGGCTGCGCCGCTTCGACGCCGCTCAGGTGAGCCCGGCCCCTGGCGACCCCGGTCTGGCCGCGCGGAGGGCTCGGGGGGCGCGAGGGGCGCGGGCGGCGGGGCAGCTCTGAGTCCGGCGCCCGCGTCCCCAGGTGGGGCCGCACATCCCGCGCGCCGCCCTGGCCCGGCTGCTGCGGGACGCCGAGGGGCTGCAGGCGCTGGCGCTGGCGCCGTGTCACGAGTGGCTGTCGGACGCGGACCTGCTGCCCGTGCTGGCGCGGAACCCGCAGCTGCGGAGCGTGGCGCTGGCCGGCTGCGGGCAGCTGAGCCGCCGCGCGCTGGGCGCGCTGGCCGAGGGCTGCCCCCGCCTGCGCCGCCTGTCGCTCGCACACTGTGACTGGGTGGACGGGCTGGCGCTGCGCGGCCTGGCCGACCGCTGCCCGGCGCTGGAGGAGCTGGACCTCACCGCCTGCCGCCAGCTCAAGGACGAGGCCATCGTGTACCTGGCGCAGCGGCGCGGCGCCGGCCTCCGCAGCCTCTCTCTGGCGGTCAACGCCAACGTGGGCGACACCGCGGTCCAGGAGCTGGCCCGGAACTGCCCTCGCCTCGAGCACCTCGACCTCACCGGCTGCCTCCGCGTCGGGAGCGACGGTGTCAGGTGCCGGGGGCTGCGGGGCTGGAGGACTGTAGCTGCAAAGGGCGCCCTCGCTGGGGAATCTTCCATCCTGGGCGAACCTGGGGAGCCCGGGTCCCTGGAGGCCTTAAGCGCCTGACCCCCATCCCGACCTCCCTCCCGCGTGTCCAGCGGAGGGTGTGCCCTAAACCGCAGAGACCTGGGATTTGCCAGAGCCAGAGGAGGGGGAGGGCAAGGTTCCTCCGAGGGAGCTGGAGCCCTGGCTCCAAGCCTCACCCCTTCCCCCAGGACGCTGGCCGAGTATTGCCCCGCGCTGCTCTCACTGCGGGTGCGGCACTGCCACCACGTGGCCGAGCCCAGCCTGAGCCGCTTGCGGAAACGAGGCGTGGACATCGACGTGGAGCCCCCGCTGCACCAGGCCCTGGTACTCCTGCAGGACATGGCGGGCTTCGCGCCCTTTGTCAACCTGCAGGTCTGACTTCTGTCAGGGGAGTCAGCTGAACTGTGCGGGGCGGCCTGGCACGGGGCTGCAGGGAAACTGGACTGTGGGGGCCGCTGTGCCCTGCCCCACCCTAGAACCTCAAATAAAGACCTCTTTGCTGTCCTTTGCCTGGTGCTACCCTGTTAGAGACAGGGTATGTGGAGCTGGGTTGGGAAGGACAGACAGGAGACAGAAATGACCGAAATGCAGAATGCGCACACACTTTCCAGCACCTTTATTACTGTGCCTGCGGAAGAGCTCCAAGAGTGGGTTAACACCACTTCGAGGAAGTAGAGGAACGGATGGAGAAGAAAGGAGACGGCTGGGGGAGGCCCCTGGGCTCCGTAGGTCTCCCACTTCCCTCCCTTGGGGGCTTGAGCCTCGCTGGCTCTGGCAGAGTCCAGTGCGTGCCTCAGTGGAAGCGGTACTTTCTTGCTGGCTTGAGGTTGATGTATGTGGCCTTCATCTCCTCGGCCTCAGGGTTCCGCATGTCTTTGAATCGTTCCCCTTTGGTGCTCACTACCTGGTTGTCAATGTAGCGGATCAGCTTCTTGGGGGCCTGTTGGGGATCAAGGTGAGCAGTAGGAACCCGGCCACTCCCTCCCCACCCCACATCCCCAGCTCTCCCAACCCTCTCACCTCCTTGGGGGCCATGGGCCGGTGGATCTTCTGGTCTTCTGCACTGTCCACCATCATGTACCTGCCCAAAACCAGCTGGATGAAGCTCCTGCCACCCCGGAAGGCTCCAGGGCCCAGCCCAGCCCGGACTCACTTTTGCAGGATGAAGGACTTCAGCTCATCCTTTTGGGGACCTCTGAGGCACCTGGGCAGGTCCTGTGGAGAGCGGCAGCCTAGTCTAGGTCCAATGGCACCAAGAGGGGAACATGGGGACAGGGAGGGGTGGGGCCTTAACACCCAGGAAGAATGCAGCTGAGGCTGCGCTGGGGCTGTGGGAGAAAATACCTGAGCGGGGCCATCCCAGGCGGCGGGCCCCTCCTCCTTCTCCTCCACCAGCATCTGCACAGCTTCTTCCAAGTCCCCCCGAGCTTTGGCCAGCACCCACTGGGCCTGCTCCACTGAACAGGTAGGGAACACCTCCAGGAGCACATCCACCCCCGGCAGCAACTCCTCAGTGCCAGCTGCCTGTGGGCACAAATGTTGACCAGCTGACCACCGGCAGCATTTCCTCCTCTCTGGCCCCCAAGGTTGCTCACCAGTACCTTTACCGTTACCCCGTCTTGGGTGTCCCTCGCTGCAGCAGGAGACCTGGCCTCTTCTTTGAGCTTTTCAGGCTGCTGCAGGAGATCCAGGGAGATGGGCCCCTGACCTTGGACACAAGAGCTTTGTGGCTGCAGGTTTTCTTAAAGAGGCAGAGAGGGCATCAGTTTTTTGGGGACTTTGGGAGGTGGTTACGAGTCCCCCAAGGGGCAGAGCCTGGCTCACCTTTGTTCCTGGCATCACTCAGCTGCCCTGACAGCTTCTGCATCATGTCCCCTGTTGTGCCTCTGAAAGGGCCAGGAAGGTGGTGAGAGGACCCTCTCCACCCCCACAGCCTGCCACCCCCTCCTTCTGGCCCCAGCCAGGGCCCACCTGGGGATGCGGGCGAAGCCAGGCACATAGGCCTCCATCATCTCAGTGAAGGCTTCCATATCGAAGTTCTCCTCCGATGGGCCGGAGGGGCCCAGGTCTTCCAGGACCCCCAGCACGTAGGAGAAGATGACTTCATCCAAGCCACTGCAGGAACGACACAGGATGAGCCTGACACCCACCCCTTGGGCTTGTGGGGGTCCTGAAGTCAGACCTCAGTCCTTGAGGCCAGGGAGTACCCCTTCCCTCAGGGACTCGGTTTTCCCCCTGTCCAACAAGGTGACAGGACAGAGGCAAGGCCATCCCTGCGAATCCTCCCCACCTCAGGAGCAGGGCTTCTGCTTTCTGCCCATCCTTCCATAGCCAGGGCCCAGGGCACTGCTGGCAGCAGTGACCCCACCCTGGCTTGGTCCTCTACCTGCTGTCGGCCTCTGGAAGATGTGTCTGCACAAAGGCGAGGAGGGCCGCACCGACGATCCGCTCCAGCTCCATGCCTGCCCCTTGTCTGGAGGGACACGAGACAGAGGAGAGCTGCTGAGCCCTCTCTGCCTGCCCCTCCCCGCCTGCCTGGTGACATCTGTTGCTGTGCCCTCCCCACAGAGCCACAGCCCCTGCCACCCTCTCCATTGCTGCCTCCTCCAGCCCGAGACAGGGTCACACTGTTTGCAGAAGGCCACCCCGCCCTCCATCGCACTTCCTTGAAGCAGGCCCAGGCCTCTGGTAAGAAGCCCGGGTCTTGCGGTCGCGTGCCTCCTGGCTGAGGAATCTTGTCACTGAGGGCAATACTTGGCTCTCAAGTCCAACCACAAGGAGCCCCATTGTCCAGACCCGGGGAGCAGGCCTCACGACCAGCATAGCCCTTCTCCCACCAGACAGCCCACCACCCTCTGCACAAAGGGGCTTTTCTGGCTCCGGGGCCCAGACAGAAGGGGAGCCTTTCATGGTGTCCCCTGCTGCCCAGTCCCTGCCCTTCCAGCAGCCAGGAGCCTCTGGAGGACTTGCCACCTGCAACCCCAGGCCTACAGGTCCTGAAAGACCTGGCCTGTGCTCGCCTCTTCCGCCTCTCCATTCCAGTCCTTCCCCACAGCCTCCTGGCTCCTCACAGCTGCCTGCCTCCCTGGTCCCCACAGGCTCTTGCTTCACTTCTGCAGGTCTGTGTTCGAGTGTTACCTGCCCAGAGAGACTTCCCTGATGTAACCACCACACACAGGTATTCCCCACACTCCGCCACTGCACACAGATGTCACGGTGAACTGCCCACAGCCCGCCTGCCCTGCTGAGGGTGAGCTCTGAGAGTGAAGGAGGACACAGTCTGCATCCCTGGTAGAGCCCCAGCCCCTAGGAAAATGTGCCCTTAGTAGGTGCTCAGTGACTGCTTGTTAACTGTTTTTTTTCTTTCTTTCTTTCTTTTTTTTTTGGAACCAGAGATTGAACTCAGGTCCTTGCGCTTGAGAGGCAGGCGGCGGAACCACTGAGCCAAATCCCTGGCCCCAAGACTATTTTTTTTCTGAGACAGGGTCTCACTGTGTGGCTCAGGCTGGCCTTGAACTCACAGTGATCCTCCTGCCTCAGCCTCCCTCCTGAGTGCTGGGATCACAACTGTGCACCACCACTCCCAGCTTGCTTGTTACTTGCTCCATCCCCATCTATCCATTCCCGACTCCCAAGAGTCTGTGCATGGGAGTTAGGAATGCAGAGGTGGTAGGGAAAGGCTCCAGGCCCATGGCTGAATGTCAGCTCAGCTTACCGCTGGGGAGGCCTGGGTGCCTGTGCACACCTCACCTCGGGATATGCACTGGGCCTCCCACCCGAGTCCTCCAGCGTCCAACCCTTGCAGATCACCCTGGACTTGGCCTGCTCCTGCCCGCCCACTGCCTGCCCGCCCGCTCCCTCACTCTCTCCGTTCTACCCACTGCTCCCTGCCTCTGCTCCAGCGTCTCTACCAACATTTCCCAGGGGCCCGCTCACAGTCACTTTTCCAGGTTTAGTCTAATAGGGTCCTGTCTTCTGGGCCGCCAAATTGTGTGGTCTTCAACTACCAGAAGAGGGCGCGCGTCCTCACGGATGCACTGGACAGCTGCCTTTCCAGCAGCGCCAACTATGGCTTCTGAGTCATCACGTTCTCCCGGCTTCCCGCTCCCTCTGGCTTTCTTCCCCGGTTCCCTGTGTCTCCTTCCCTGCTACCCTCTCCAGCCTCAAGGCCACTGCCTCTTTCTCCTCACTCTCAGTCCTCTCCCTCTGGAAGCTCTCAGTTGAAAGTCAGGCACAGTGGCACACGCCTGTAATCCCAGCACTCAGGAAGCTGAGGCAGGAGGATCACCTCAAGTTCCAGGCCAACCTAGTCCTCATAGTGAGTTCAAGGCCAGCCTGGACTACATAGCACCACCCTGTCTCAAAAAACCCACAAAACTCAGCTGGGTCCATATCCCATGCACTAAGCCATCAACACCCCAATGTCCAACCTTGTAGTCCAGTCTCTCTGAGCAACAAACTTGTACCTCTACCTCCCAGACACTGCATGTGGACGTCTAACAGGCACCCGACACTTACCTCGTCCCAAAGCGACATTCTACCAATATTTTAATTCCTCCAGAGTCCCCCCCCCCCAACTTTTTTGGTTTGTTTTTGCTTTGTTTTTTGTTTTGAGACAGGGTCTCACTATGTAGCCCAGGCTGGTCTTGAATTTGCAGAGCTCCTCCTGTCTCAGCCTCCAGAGTGCTGGGATCACAGACATGCACCACCACGCCCAGCAGGGCCATGGTCCCTAAATTTATGTACAGGCATGCAGCTGTTCCTCTCCCTGTTCCAGCCACAGGTCTGGGAATTCTCCTGGACACCGTTCTGCCCCTTGCTTCCCTTTAGCCCATTACTCATCAAACCTCAATCTTCTCCTCTCAGCACTTTTACTTTTCTACTTAACTCTGCTCCATTTCTTGCCTCCAAGAGTTTCCTAATCCTTCTTCCCACTACCATCATTCCTCCAGGAACCTATCTCCACCCAAGAGCTTTACAAAGGGTTGTATCTTCTCCTCCTTCAAAATCTTTTTTTTTTTTTTTTTTTGGTACCGGGGATCAAACTCGGGTCCTTGCGCTTGCGCAGCAGGCAGCGAAACCACTGAGCTAAATCCTCGGCCCTCAAAATCTTTTTTGATGCACAAGTGCAAGGACCCGAGTTTGATCCCCAGTACCAAAAAAAAAACCTTTTTTGGGGGCCAGGGATGTAGCTCAGTGGCACCACACCTGCCTCACAAGCACAAGGTCCTGAGTTTGATCCCCGGTACCCCCCAAAAAATCTCTTTTGCCAGTACTGGGGATCACTTTTGGCTTTTTGGCCAAGATCAAGTGTCAGTACTGGGGATCACTTCTCGGCCTTTTGGCTAAGATCAAGTGGGAGTAGTGGGGATTGAACCCAGGGCCTTCTCACTGAGCTACCTTCCCTGCCCTTTTTCATTTTGAAACAGGGTCTCACTAAATTGCCAAGCTGCCCAGGCTGGGCTCCAACTTGTAATCCTCCTGCCTCAGCCTCTCGAGTGCTGGAATTAGACGTGGGCACTGTGCCCAATCCCCATCACCTCTGGATAAGTCCAGAGTCTTTGTGTGGCCCTTGGTCAGGGCTGTGCCCTTGCCTCTCTCCATGCCCATCATAAAACTCACCCTTCCCGGGATCATTGTCCTCTACCTGGCTGGCTTTCAGTTCACCAACATTCAAGCCTCTTACCCTCTAGAACTGGCCTGGTTACCACCATCTTACACCCCGCACACCCCACTGCGGGCTGCTCTATTCTTTACTTGGCAGGATCTTTCACAGCTATAATTAATTACTTGGACAAAGTTTAATGTCTTTCCTAGTTGTCTCAGGGAGGCAGGGACTATCCACCTGGTTTATCCAGCAACACCAGAAGCAGGCACTCAATTAGCAGTTGCTCCCACTCCCAGATGAAGGCGAAGCTCAGAGTCACCAGGGCTGACTGTGGTGGTCAAGAGCTCAGTGCTAAAACATCTCCCTGGCATGCACGAGGCTCTGGGCTCCAACAGAGTGGGCTGGGGTATAACAGGTCCAGTCAGCCGGGTCAGTGTCCACTCTTAGGATGGCTCTGGGGTGGGGCTTCGGGCATTAGGGCCTCCAAGTGGGCTGGGTCAGGGCTCCCATCTGTGATACAGGTGCTCACAGAATTGCTGGGAGACCTAAGGAGTCCCTTTGCTACGTTTTGAGAGGTCTTGCTATGGAGTCCTGGCTGGCCTCAAATTTGCTGCACCCCTTCTGTCTTAGTCTCCAGGTGCTGGGATCACCTACTGTGGCTGGCAGGGGTCCCTTTGGAAACCAGGACTAAGTAACCCCATCCCACCAGGGAAATTTCCCCAGCTGCCAGCTTCGGAGCCTTAGCCAGGGCCTGAGGGAGCACAGCACAGCTGAGCTGCTTGGCCCCCCACCATGCAGGTCCCCTGCAGACCCTCACACCCTGGCCGCTGTCAGTGGGTGGCAACTCTGCAGGATAAAGACCCAGCTGCTGCAGAAGAGCGCAGTTTCTAGAGAAGTTTCTCCAGGTTGTGCCTAATGTCTGGGGTTTTTTCTTTTGTTTTTTTCAGGGCTGGGGATCAAACCAAGGGCACTCTACCACTGAGGTACATCCCCAGCCCTTTTTATTTTTTATTTTGATACAGGGTCTCGCTAAATGGCCCAGACTGTCTTCGAACTTGCAGCCCTCCTGGCTCAGCCTTCTGAGTAATGTGCCACCACACCTGCCTCAATGCCTCTTGAGTTTCTTACCAAGGTCTGGGAGCTGGGGAGTTATTACTGTCATTATCAATTGTTTACCAAACATGATTCAAAGCATTTTACCTATATTACATTACCTAAACCTCACAACCCTAAAATGTGGATACTGATATTATCCTCATTTTACCTGAAAGGAAACTGGGAGGTTAAATAATTTGCCCAAGGCCACAGAGCAAGTTAATGGCCAAATCACACCCAAGCAGTCTGAGCCCAGCCAGTTAGCCACCACCACGTGTGTCACAATGCCAACGGTGTGGCCCAGGTCTGCCTGGGTCCTCCCTGTGCGGCATCCTGCCCACTAAGGAATCCACTCACACCATTCCCCGTGCTCAAAACGTCTCTCCCAACCCCATTCAGCAATACTCACTTCTCCTCTGCAGCCTACCCTGTCCTCACTGCCCGAAGGTAGCCGAGACGTCGGGCCCCTCTGGGGTCCTGCTGCCCTGGGTGGGGAGGAGGGGGCGCCGAGGTCCTCCCTGGGGCTCCCGGCTCCCAGCTCCCGGCTCCCGGATCCATAAGGAGGCCTCGAAGGCACCACTCTGCCGTGACACGCCAAGGACAGGGAGGAGAGCCGGGGAGCACGCGCCACCCAAAGCCCGCGGGAGCATCAGTGCGGGGAGCAGGGCGGGGAGTGCGCGACGCCTGGACCGCCGCGGGCGCCCCTAGGCGTCCAGAACGTGGGCCCGAGGGCACCGCGCTGCAGCTAGGGGACCCAAGGCGACAGGCCTGAGCAAAGAGATGTGCCCTGATCCAGGCCACGGCCAGGATCAGAGATAGAGTTCCGGGGGGAACACACGGGACGGATTGCCCGGATCAACGCTCTCCGCGCCACTCCAAGCCCTGGGCCGGGGGCAGGAGGGGAAATCACCTGCTCCGCTGGAAGCCGCCGGCGATTTGTCCCGCGCGGTGAAGCTCTCATCCCCTCAGCCCCACCAACGAGATCAAAGGCGGGGCCCAGAGCGGCTCCCTCTCCAGAGATGCCTCAGCGGCCATTTTTGAAAAGGGAAACTTGCCCGTAACAGGGCGGAGCTTTCGTCGACGTTGTGCAGTATCTTGGGCTTTGGACGGGCTCCCACGGCGGCCATTTTTGTTGAGGGGTGGGAGGAACGACTCGAGGAGGTCTGGCACGTGGCTGGACTCACGATGCGGGGTGTACTCCCGCTTTGTTCCTTCTCGCCGCTAGAGGCGCAGAACCTTTCTGCCGCACGTTTGGGTCTTCCTGTCCGCCTTATCCCCTCGCCTCCAGGATCTCTGCAGTGAAACCCTACAGATTTTACCCTCGTTCCTCCATGCTTGTGCTGCCCTTCCCTGGCTCGCTGGATCTGGTGGCCCCTACTGCAATACCCCGTGTTCTTCCCCACTTTCCAGCCTTGTTCCCCCTTTGTGGTCAGTCCAGCTTTAAACTCTCTTCTCTCGCTCGCTCGCTCGCTAGCTCGGCAAAGCCTCACTATGCAGTTCAGGCTGGGCTTGAACTCACTGTGTAGCCCAGCTTGGCCTCAAACTCCCAGCAGTCCTCCCGCCTCAGCCTCCTGAGTGCTGGGATTACAGACGTGTGCCACCATGCCTGGCTACTCAGTCAACTCTTAGGTGTTGGCTTCCCGGGCCTGTCGGTCCCCTTTGTATTGCCTTAACAGCTGTCTCCACAAGATTAGGTGGGTTACAGGGGGTTGGGACCTTGATGCGCCCCAGGTGCCTAGGTTGAGGATCACCTGAGCCCACCCCAGTGCCCTCGTGTCCCTGTAGGCAGAGCTGCTAATGTAGGGCTGGAGGGCTGTGCACTAGAACCTGGCAAGGCCTCGGCTTCCCGAGACTGCCCTGTCGGGAAGCTCACAGCCAACCCTTGCTGCGAACACCAAAATTCGTCGTAAGAGAAAGTTGGTCCACTCTACTCAGCAGCAGCGATGAGCCCATTTTCAGACCTAGACCCCTAAGAAGGAGCAAAGGACCCGAACTCAGTCCAAAGGAGAAAATGCCACCTTCTCCTCTAGGGACTGAGGCAGTGCCAAGATTAGATAGAGAAAGGCATTATTATCCCTCTTCGTCCAGTGTCCCCCGTCGCACACACGCAGCCCTCTGGCTTCCGAAAGAGTAGGCGGTTGGCTGCAGGGGGAAGGGGCCGGAAAGAAGCACGTACCTGGCATCGCTTCTCCCATAAAACGCCAGCTGCTGCTGCGGGCCTGGCGCTGGTGGAGGTGATGAGGGGCGGCAGAATGACAGCCACTCTGCGCTCTGGCCGGTCCCCGGGAAGGGCATGGGACAGCCCTCGCTCTTCAGCCCCTTCCCCCTCCGGCCGCCGGCCCGGCCGATGCACAATAGAGGACTCCTGCTCCTCACCACCCCACTCCTGGAACTTCCAGGCTTCCTCAGTGGAGCTGACCCGCTCTGACCCGGGATCCCCGCACCGTCCCTGACGCTGTTCCTTATCTTTCCCAAAACTTTCCCTGCGTCTTTGACGGCAGCTGCGTGTAGTTAGCTATCAGAACGAAGGTCTAAGGGAAGGGTGAGAGGAAGCTCTCTGAGGTGGAGACTCAGACCCAGGGCAGACCTGATTCAGTGAGGCAGGGATCAGGTTCTGGGGCCAAAAGACAGAAATGGGGAAGGAGAGGGCCCAGCAGACACAGGACAGGCACGGAAGGCTGGGGTGCGCACTGTCCAAAGCCTACCCTTCTCGGGACTCCCCGCTGGCCCTTCCCTTTAGTCTCTCCCTCCTCGGCAGGAACAACTCCACTTGCCCTTTCAGGGCTCCCTGGGAAGGGGTGAGAGCAATGCGTCCTCTCCCCATTCTCTCGGGATTTTTTTTTTTTTTTTTCCGTACCGGCATCGAACTTGGACCCTTACGCTTTCGAGGCAGGCGGCAGAACCACTGAGCTAAATCCCCTCGGGATTTTTTTTTTTTTTTTTCCGTACCGGCATCGAACTTGGACCCTTACGCTTTCGAGGCAGGCGGCAGAACCACTGAGCTAAATCCCCGGCCCTCCCTCAGGTGAGTTCTGCAGCTGGGGGTCTGGGAGCCTATGCTGAAGTGTCCCCCAAAGGACGGTTCTCCACCTTCCTGCCTCAGAATGAGGAGTCGGCCCGAGTCCAGCCTCGAGGCCAGCTGTTTCTGGCACTGAGAGCGAGAAGGAACCGGGCTGATCTCAAGAGGTGAGAAAGGCACAGCAAGAGACTGAGGTGAGGAAAGGGGCACGCACGGACGGACGAGGGGCTCCCGGCCCGGCCTTCCCGCAGCAGGAGTGGGGCGGAGGCGCGCGGGGTGGGGGCCGTTTCTAAGGGGGTGCGACTGCTCCCCGAGCGCTGCTGCGGAGCCTCCGGAGCGCAGCCCAGGCCTCCAGTAAGTGCCGCCCCTTCACCAGGGCTCGGCGGGTCTCTGGCTGGTTTGGCGGCCCCTCCTTCTCCTGCGAGTGAGCACAGAACCCTGTCCCGGGCTTCACGCTCCGGAAGATGAAAGCGCGTTTCAGGGAAGCCTTTCTTCTCTTCTCAGCGTTCCCAAACCTTAGACCAAGTGGGAGATGTTCAGCGAGCTGTAACTCCTGGACTCCCGCCCTGGGGATCCCCTCGGACCCAGGAAGCCCCTGGGTCTACGCCTTTTCCCAAGGAACAGTCAACAAAGTGCAAGGGACGTTTATTGAGGAGCTGCTGTGTGCAGAGCCCTGGACGAGATGAGGGCAGGGCCCATGAATCCAGTCGCGCTGCGGAGGGTTGAGGCTTTCTGCCAGGCGCGGTGGCAGGCGCCTGTAACCCCGAACCCAGATCGCCGGGTTTGGGCACCCTGTCCCGTCCCTTCCTCCTTTCCTGGCCGGGGCTGCTCTCCCAGCTCCGAGCTTAGTGCACTCTTAGTGGGAAGTATCCTGAGAGCTCTGGTTCTGGATTCTCACTGGACACCCCCCACCCCCCACCCCCCACCCCCCGCTCACCCTGGGAATGGGGAGAAGCACGGGAGGGCAGCATCTGGGCTCGGTGCCCTTGGCCACCTGGCTCTGAGAACTGAATTCCATAGACTGTGAGCTCCAGCAATGCCCTGGGGACTCAGTTCTGTTGCCTGGCTGTGCTGCCTCGAGGATGCCGGGGATGCCGGGGATGCCAGCTGCAGGCCCCTCCCGCCCACCCACTGGGCAAAGCTTCTAAAGACTGGCTCTGCTGCTGTTCTGCCCAGTGGCTTCAGAGGCTCCCAGATCTCCTCCTCGGCCCGGCCTCCAGTGAGCTCTGGGGCTGCCTGGACACAGCCTGCCCCCCGGGAGCCCCAGCCGCTTCCTCTCCCGCTGCCATGCACGTGCTGTCTGCCCGCCCTCAGCTCTGAGAGGGGCACCTCTTTCTCACCGGCTGTTGAGTCCAACACATCCTTCAGATCCTCTCAGATGCCTGTTCATGAAGCCTCTGTTTTGTGTTTTTCGAGACAGGATCTCACTGTGTAACCCAGGCTGGCCTGGAACTCTCAGTGATCCAGTGCAGGGTTACAGGCGCCTGCCACCGCACCTGGCAGAAAGCCTCAACTCCGTAACAGTGGGACTGGATTCTTGGGCCCTGCCCTCAGCTCGTCCAGGGCTCTGCACACAGCAGTTCCACAATAAACATCCCTTGCATTTTGCTGAATGTGTCTCCTGTGAAAAAGCCGTTGACCTACAGGTTAAAGCAAATCAGATGTATTCTCTGTACTGTCTCTGTAAACATTGGAAGTTGTTAGCCTCCTTATTTGTAAATGAAAATAATAATTATATCCACATCAAAGTTTGTGAGCGTTTCTTTTGGGAGCATTAAATTTAATGAGTTGGTAAGCTAGGCACGGTGGCATTTACTTATAATCCCAGCACTTGGGAGGTTGAGGCAGGAGGATTGCTGTGAGTTCAAGGCCAGCCTGAGCTACATAGTGAGACCCTGTCTATAACAGTACAGGTAGAAAACCTGTCCAGCAAGGAGAAGGGAACCACTCCCCTCCCTTCGGGCGACAGCAGGCACAGCACCACCCTAATGATTATCCATATATACATTTTTTTTTTTTGGTACCGGGGATTGAACTCGGGTCCTTGCACTTGCAAGGCAGGCAGCAGAACCACTGAGCTAAATCCCCAGCTGATTATCCATATTTAAGCTTAGGAGGTCTTGCTGCCTGAGGTGGTGGATCCGGACACCTGTGAGAAACAAACTGGACCCAGAGGTGTCTGGGCCTTTAAATACTGGAAGCCGAGTTATCGAGGGTTCCTCTTCCTTTTCCCAGGCAGGGCCCACTCGCCAGCCCCCAAATGCCACCTGGTCCACTCAGCACCACTTAAGCTCCTTCCCCGGAACTTCACCACCAGCCGCAGCTGCGCCTCCGACCTCGGCTTCCTCTTCCTTCCCTTTGCCCTCTGCCTGTTCCTGCGGCTGCCATCCCACGTTCTCCAATAAAGGAGGCTACTTACTGCTAGGCCTTCGCTTGGCCATTCTTGTCAAGCACGAGAACCCAGACTACGTTTGGCCCATTTGACTGTGACAGTAACAAGGAGGAGAAGGGGAGAGTTACTGCCAAGGGCTTTCACACAGCACCTGGGACCCAACAGGGACTCAGTACTAAGGCTGTGGCAGGTGAGGTTGATTTAGTCTATTCCTGGAAGTGGAACAGGAGCTGCCCAAAAGGGCATGTGTTGAAATTGGTCGGTTGGTCGGGCTTTCCTAAGTGAGCGGCTCCAGGTCAGACTGGAGGGCTGAGCAAGAATTGGGCAGGGCAGGAGGAGCAGCCCTCTGGATGGGGCCGGTAGCCTGCACCCTGCTGGGAGCCAGGTGCTCCAGACGACACCTGCTGTGTGACCTTGGGTGAATCAAATCCCTCTCTGGGCCAGGTTTCCCGGCAGAATGGAAATCAGGTGGAGCCAGATGCAAAGATCTGTGGCAGCCCGGGTGTTTTTTGGGTTCTGCCCTTCTAAGGGTTCAGGTCAAAGATCCAACCAGGAAGCAGGCTTCCACCCACAGGGCTGTGAGCCACAGTGCAAGGAGCCCCTCTCTAACAGCTTGGCTGTGGAGGGGGCGCTTGTGGGGT